TTATTTGCATTTAAATGTTTGAAACAATGGATTATCAAATTGCTATGATGTGCACAATTATTTTAACTAGATGCTATTTATAAATACACAGAGGATTATACAAAAGTAAAAAACATTAGTTGTTAAGATCAGTAAAAATATTTATGTCACGCATACACACACACACACACTTGCAGACAAAAAACGGATATTTTTTATTTATTTTTTTCCTAAAAGTTGTGTATTTATTTCATTAAAATGTAATTTTCATTTTTGAATACTTGATGTAAATCCAAGTTTTATTTGACTCAGAAAAATAAAAGTCGTAAAAACATAGAGTCAACTGAGTAGTAGTGAATCGTTAGTTAAAATAAGCTATTATTGAGGAGAGAGAGAGAGAGAGAGAGAGAGAGAGAGAGAGACCGCCTGACTCTCAATTTCATACAGTGTTTTTTCTGTGTGCCATTGACTTGATTTAGTTAATAACACACACACACAAACTGTATGTGTATGAATGTATGAATGTATGTCTATATGGATGATACCGGTGCTAAAAATAGGTACACACGATATATACTGTACATGATGTATATATATATATATATATATATATATATATATATATATATATTTGTTGTGTACATTTACAGTCATTGTGTCGTGAAAATCGTTAAGTTGTAAAACTTTACGACACTTTTACTTTTATGACAAATTTAAACACAACACACACACACATATATATATATATATAAATAAATATATATACACCATATGTTTTTATAAGTAAAATTACGATTTACATTAAAAACAATTATATTGTTTTATTAGTACAGTAAGATAATTTCAATGTAAAATAATTGTCTGGTAACTAGAAAACATTTTAAAATAAAACAAAAAGTACCTGGACAATTTATCTTAATAATATCAACTTTCATTAGGTATTAAACAAACTGTTTATGACTAGTATTATACTATAGGCTATAGCTAAACAATTATTGCTTAAATTTCATGCATAAATGCAATTGTTTTAATCATTGTTTTTTTTAGTTTGAATTTGAGTCTATTTTATATAAAATATTTGATAATATATTTAAATTTAATAAAGTAAATTATAATTTATTTAAAAAAACTAAAAATAGTAAAATATACAATATATATTATATGTATTTTTTCTTCTAGTAATATATGATTTTTTATTAAATCCATTTAAGCCATTGCCGATGCTCCACATATTTTAGGGGAGTTTAAAAATAATTTGTGGATTTATATGTCAAGATTTATTGCAACCAATTTTTCAAAATCAAATTGAATATTTTACAGTACATAATAAATTTATTTTTTTCATAAGTTATATATTAATACATATTTGAGTGCATATATAAATCTTATTTAAATAAACCAAATATCTAGGAATAAGTTTAAAAAAAGGGTTAAAACTGTTTATATTTTAAACACCAGTGTTAGCAGTTCATGGATTAACATCACTAGTGACATACTGTATAGTACTGTATATATATATATATATATATATCAATATATACAGTACTAACACATATATAAATATATATATATTGAGCACTTGGATTTTTTTGAGTAATGAGCTCATTTGCTGCCAACTGTTTGATGCAACCATAAGTCACAAAACTAATACTAATTTTAAAATCWCTYTYTYTCTCTCTCTCTCTCTCTCTTTCATGGATATTATTAAAGCTACTATCTATTAAAGGAACTACTGTATACCACAAAAAATTGTTATGTTATAAATTTTTGCATAAAAAATAGTTTTTTGTCACATTTTGCATAAATTTATGACAATTTATATGAGTGATTGACAATACACGAAGTGATATCTTAAATACCAATAAGAATTTAGAGATTAGTGACTATGTGTATGTATGTATGTATTTGTGTGTATGTATGTATGTGTATATATGTGTATATGTGTATATGTGTATATGTGTATATGTGTATATGTGTATATGTGTATATGTGTATATGTGTATATGTGTATATGTGTATATGTGTATATGTGTATATGTGTATATGTGTATATGTGTATATGTGTATATGTGTATATGTGTATATGTGTATATGTGTATATGTGTATATGTGTATATGTGTATATGTGTATATGTGTATATGTGTATATGTGTATATGTGTATATGTGTATATGTGTATATGTGTATATGTGTATATGTGTATATGTGTATATGTGTATATGTGTATATGTGTATATGTGTATATGTGTATATGTGTATATGTGTATATGTGTATATGTGTATATGTGTATATGTGTATATGTGTATATGTGTATATGTGTATATGTGTATATGTGTATATATGTATGTATGTGTGTGTATATGTATGTGTGTGTGTGATGCAAATTTTAAAAACATTGAAAAATAACTCAAAACTAAATTTTTCATAAATATTGTGAATCTGATAAAAACATAATAATCTGATAAATATAACGAATACTGTATTGACAAATTTTAAAAATAAATTTCAAAGTCTAATTAATGATAAATGTCATTTTTTCATTAATTTATTAATATTTATTTATAATTTATGCTAACTAAACAATTAATTGTCATGAAAAAATTTTATATTTAAATTATAATTTATAATATACAAGAAAAATAGCTGTGTATACCGGTATATATATACAGTGTTTTATGTATAAGAAAACATAAACTATACAATGATTTGTGCACTTTTTACATATATTTTTTTGTTAAAATATCTGATAATCATTATTGCTAATTGTTTTGGTATTTGGGGCAAACATTATATTGCAAAATATTACTTATTTTCACATATATATATAACACTATAAATAAAGTATTATTAATAAATTATGAGTTTTTATATATTGTTATTTATTATTAAATAAATTAAAYTTATAATAAAATTATTATAATAACTAAAATTATTATAAAATTACATGTATATAAATAATTATCTGCATAAAAATTAAAAGTTTGATAAGTTACTATATGTAAGTTAGTTAAGTAAATATTTTTAAAATRTATAAATACTAGAAAAAATATTTTTTCTTAGATTTTTATAAGTAAATCTAAAATTTACTATCAATAAGTGAATTTTTTGTTACATATATATATATATTTTATAAACTAATTAATTAATAAAATAAATAGAATTAATTTATAAAAAAATCAAAACATGTTAATAATCAACAAAATAAAAATTGAGCCAAAAATTAATTAGTTATCAAAAGCAACATATCTGATAAAAATACTTAAATATATTCTCTAAACCAGAATATTCTTTATACTATACTTTCTATTAAACAATAAAAATAAATTTATAGTTTTTATTCAATAGTTTTATGTTAATCTAAAATACATAATATTATTTTATTACTTTGCTTAAAAATTAATGCAATACTTATTCAATATTTAATCTTTAATTATATTTGCTTTTTTTTAATTAATTTAATAATAATATTTTATAATAAAGAAATATTTTTTTTTAAAAATAAGTTAACATTTTTCGATTTTAAAAATATTTTATTTAATAAAATACATTTCGCCATCTATTAATTTTCATTTTAATAAATATTTAAAATATAAATTTTGATAAATTTTACTGTATTATTTATCTAAAAATAAATATTTTTAAAAGTACAGTATAATTAATGTCAATATTATACTGTAAAATTACTGTAATAAAAATTTATCTATACTTTATTTTTCACCTAGTTAAATTAGACAAGAATCAATTTTTATATTTTATTTATTATAAATTATAATATTTAACAAAATTAACTATAAAAAATAATAATTTCAAACTTAAAATGTTAATCTAAAATACACGGATCATAATTATAATAATATTTTGTATAATAATAGTTAGCGACTGAATATAAGACATGTAATGAATATTTATAACAATAATAGTCATTAAATAGTTTTAAACGATTGTATAGTATAGCCATTGAGGTGTCATTAATCGCTTGCCATATGATTGCACTCTTTGAGTACCAGCAGAGGTCAAGGCGTTCAACATTACAATCACTTTTTGAATCCCGTCGTATAAGTAGAGGCATAGGTCGGCGCTCAATGTTTAACATTTGAGCCGTTATTCCAGTAATGAATACGTCCTCAAACGGTAAGGCTGGCAGTGCTTTATGTATGACTGTACGGTATAAAGATAAAGCCAATTGACCAGGGATCAWATATATACTACTAGTAAAGTCAGGATAGTTATAGCTGGGATAGTCCTATAATTTAATCAATTGGTTTATTAATAAAAATTTATCTAGGATAATTAAATCAACAATTTATGTTTMTATATATATTAATAATTTTATACATACACTGATACTAATTGCCCACTTTCGGTTATCCCTATTAAACGGATTATCCGGATAATCTCGGGCTACAATAGGTTTATGCCATAGGTGTCCATAAATAGCATCGGGAACTAAATTCATGGCTAAATTATTTAAATTGTTGGCCAACACAACAGTGTCGTCGTCTAATTTCAGAACAAATCTGACTAATGGACAGTTCATTGCTGTCCACCGAAGTATTGCTATTGATTTAATGGTTAGTTTATAATATTCATCTAAATATGGGAACTGAATGATGTCGTGATGAACACTGTCTTCTTCGAGTAGTTTTCTTTGTATATCCGTTGAGTTGGACAGCCCTACAGCAAAGTATATCTTCGAACGGTTGTCACGTTTGATATCCCGGCCCCACGTCTGTCGTATTGTTAGACGTGTATGAAATTTGTTGACATGACTTACCAACATTACGAGCACATGTAGGTCAGCGCCGGCCTGTTTACTACACAAACCTTTAGTTATGGAACTGTTTCGAGTAATTTCGTAGATCTCTTCCGGAAATATTAATTGAGTCTTTGAACGACTCTTTAGTAACTGATGTGAAAACTGTAGGCTTTGATTGTAAAGTGATTCGTCTAATGACTGAATCTCTCGATAATTATCTTTAATTTTTAGCCGAATATATGATTCCGATATTTTTGTCGACATAACTATCGGTTTATTTATTTGTAATATAATATAAATAATAATATAAAACACTAGTGTTAACAATAATAACCATATATTTAACGCTATAAACACTTGTCGACAGACTCGACGAAATAAGTATCGTTTGTAACGAAGTATATGTTCTAACATTTTGTTGGACAACAAAAAACAATGATTTTTATAACAAATAATTGTTGAAACAAATTAAATTAAAATAAATATTTTTAACTATTAGTGAATTTTGTCATTATTTTGAAACTATTTCAAACTGTTTCAAAAAACATAATCGGTTTCAAAAAAAATGCTTGACACGGTTTTTTGGCACTAACTTATAAAGTTATAAAGTTATACTTTACATTAATTTTTTGTTGTACTATGAAATCATGGAACGGGTCTTATATTATAATAACTAATTATGGCTCCGGGATGCGGGACAGGGATGTTTTTGTATTTCAAAAAAACTATAATATAAAAGATATTAATATTTTATAAGATGCATAATATACTATATATAAAAATCATTTGATACCTTGAATTTTCTTAAAAAATTAACTGTATTTGAATAATAAATAAATATGAAAATTGTATTATTTCCCGAATTTCCCGTAATCTGTAAAATGTTATTATACTAAAACACCCGTTTAATAATTGCATAATAYCCCCCTCAAAAAAATTATGTTTAATAACTTTAAAAGTTATTGCCAAAAAACCGTGTAAAACATTTTTGAAACAGATTTTATACTTAATTTATCTAATAATATAAATTCAAGGTAATTAAATACTAATAATTAAATATTATCCTTGAATTTCATCTTACATTTATTTTAATAAATAATTATGCATATACCTAATATGGTATAATGATTACATATATTATGATATATTTTAGAGTTATTTACTATACTATCAAATTATATAATAATTTTATAAAAATATTTATAATCTATTCAGACATTAGTACTAAAATGTAACTGTTAAAATTTTTAGACTATTTTTTATATACTGTATAAATAATATAACTATAAATAGTATAAATAATAATATAAAATAATATATAAAAAATTAATGTTTCAACAATAACAACATCAGATTACCGAAAAAATAAAAAAGTTTGTAACCACTCATCAAATATTAAGTGTAATATATATAAGTGTATCTGAGATTACCAAAAGTAMACACACGAGTCTAAAAATTTTATACAATTTAAAAAATTATTTTAAAAAGTATATTTAAAAAGTAAAGGTATATTGTATATATATTTTTGTTAAAATATCTGATAATAATTATTGCTAATTGTTTTGGTATTTGGGGCAAACATTGATATTTCAATATATTATTTATTTTCATATACCTGTATAGTATACTATAAATAAATTATTAATAATAATAAATTCTAAGTTTTTATCTATCAACATTTTTTATTAAATAAATTAAAATTATAATATTCGCTATTATAATAACTAAAATTAATATATAAAAATAATTACATAATAGCTATTTCCATAAAAAATTTTATAAGTTTCCTATATTTAAGTAAATATTAAAATTTATATTGTGATGGTTAAAACATCACTAAGCGGTTCCAACAATACAAATCAATATATAAAGTTAACTTTAACATTATAACTGAAACATACTGTATCTATGTATATTCTTTATTATAACTTAAAATACAGTTTAATCAAATTACTTAATTTGATTATAATTAACTATATTTAATATTATTATCAATTCTATATTAATATCCAATTTATTATTATTATGATCAATTGTTTAACTAAGTTTATAATCAATTATTAATTCTGTAAATAACTTTAATTAATTATTAATTATCTAATATACTGTAATTATTAAATACATGTAATCTATCGACTATCACATTATAATTATCAATAAATCAGAGTTTTAGAAAAGTATAAAAATGTAATTATTGACTACTAGTAAGTGTAAGCCTTAGGTGTAGCGGGGTTTGGCTATTATTCCGGTTTCCCGGATAAGTCATCCCGAGCTCCAATACAAGGCTCCCGAATACTTCCGATATATAGCGCAGTTACCAGTGACCAGAGCCCCGAATGGGCTATTCATATATACTGTGGCGTAATAGATAAACCATCCATATATACCGTAACGCTTAAATAGTCTTCATATAGCAACCCGTACAGTAATTACGTCACAGTTCCCTATCAAACATAACCCGCATTGCATATTGCTACGTAAAGTTATCTTTACGGGCTATTTGACGGTAAACTATAAACTCGAACCGTCACAATATAAATACTAAACAAATATTTTTGAGGACATTTCTATAAATAAATTTATTTACAATCTATAAATTAAATGTCTCAAACAAATATAYTTTTATAAACTAATTAATTAAATAAAATACAGTATTTTTAATTAAAAAAATCAAGACATGTTAATAAGCAACAAAATAAATATTAAGCCAAAAAAATAATTAGTTATCAAACGTAACATATTTGATAAAAAATGCACTTAAATATAAAACCAGAATATTCTCTATACTTTACTCAGTATTATACACTAATAATGAACTCAAAATAAGTGCACAATTAAGTCCACGAAAAATAGACATTACATATACATTGCTTATAAGTTAATTGTATAGAAAATGGTTAATTTATTCACTAAACACTACATTATTAAACTCAATTGTACACTATTTCTAAATCTACATAGAATTGGCTCTAATATCTGAAACATATATTTAAATCTATGTATGATATAAATGTATGTATACCATAGTACTTATTTATATATGTATATATATATGAAAAACGCTTATTATACGCAATGTAATAAACAAAATAACCTTGATGTTGTGCGATGACCTGTCATATTATACAATTGTATAAAAATATTTTCATTATTTTGTATCGTTTGAAATATTATATAATTATACTATAATAGAGTAGAAGTATTATAAATACAGTAAAAACTGTTGATTGAATAGTATATATATATATATATATCTTTAAAATATTATTATCAAATGTTATTTAATTAAAGCAATAAAAACAATTGACTGCAGTTATTTAAATTTTATACATTTATAATAAACAGTATTATGTATAAATAATACACTGTTATCAACAAAATAATCTGATTTAAACTGATTGCTTATTTTATATTTATATTAAATGTAGATTTTTGTTGTAAACATTTTTTTGATGTAAACTTTAATCTATGTATTAATTATTAAAAAATAATATATAATTATAGTGAAGGCCAGAGTAGTTTATTCATTAAAAAATTATATATTTTATAAATACATGATTTAAACTATGATATTAATATAAGATATATAAATAAATATTTTTAAAAACACGAYTAATTTAATACATAAAACTTGCATATATTTAATTCGTGTATAGACTATATATAGACAATACATTGATTAATACAATTGTATTATTTGCTAACAATAGACTRTTCAAAAAACATACACACGAATCTATATATAGTTATAATTAATAAGTTTAATAAATATTAGTTTACATATAAATTTTAAGCAAAGTTTAATGAATGTGTTTTATTGACATAAATAAACAAAAATATTTAAAATAATTATTATAATAYTAATTAGGATGAAAATAAATATTAATTATAATTGTCAATATTAAATTWAATAATTTATAGAATAACTTATTTTTTTATTTATATTAAACTAATTGTTTAATRTTTAATATGTTTAGTAAATTTTGATTTAGATTAATCTATTAAATTTGATATTAATATAAATATAGAAAATTATGTTTTATGAACTAACTGTAATACATTAAAATGTTATAATAAAGTAAATGTAATGCTTTAAATGAGACATAAAATTGTTTTTTAATCAAAACTAATATTATAATTAGTATTTTTTATTTATATTTTATTTATTTATAGTAATAACACTTTAAAAATAAAAAAATATTAATTATAATATCAGTTTTGATTAAAAAACAAATGTTAAAAAAATGTGTTTTTGTCTATTCATTGACTACATAATGCATTTACACAATACTATGATATCATTGTATTAATGCTTAAACTGATAGCTGAGACATCTATAATAAATTTGTTTAAATTATCCAATATTTTGGTTTTGTATTCACTGAAACAGTTTTAATATTGCTTTAATAGCATAAAATTAACAATAAATTCAATTTTTTAGTAAATAATTTTTTGAGTAAATACARCACACATTTCGCCATCTATTGATTTGTCTAATATAATAAATATTTAAAATATAAACTTTTCAMATATTGTCTTAATTATCAAAMATTATATTATTATTATAATGTAATTTGTTTGTTAATATTTTTTTTTAACTATAACTAACGTTACATATTTTAAATGAAAATAATTTAGTTAACGGTTGGTATAGCTATTGATTTTGTCGTCAATCGTTAGCCATATATGATTGCATGTATTTGAGTCTAAACTTTTTTTTTTAAATTTCCGATTMCTGTCCAGTCCTTACCCTGATAAAAATTATTAACAGGGCTGTCCTGTCGTATTATTTTTATAATGATAAYCCTGTCCTGTCCCRTCCCGTCCCGTTCAACATTACAGTCACTTTTCGGTTATCGGTATATAAGTTGAGGCATAGGTCGGCGCTTAATATTTAACATTTGGGCCRCTATTCCAGTGATAACCACRTCCTCAAAGGGTAAGGTTGGCAGTGCTTAACTGTACTGTAGTGTACTGTACTGTATAGTGATAATGATTTATGACCAGGGTTATTAACAGGTATATACAAACAGTAAAATCAGGATAAATATCGTTGTGATAGTCCTACAGTATAATACAAATACTATTACAGTGCATAAAATAAATAAATGTTTAAAAATGAAAATTAATATTATATAAGATAATTAATTTTTCTAATTATATATATATATGCTGTAAATTTGTTAATATTAATATACAATTGAAGTGATAAAAAATTAGAATAAAATTTTAAAATTAAAAAACATTTATTTAAAAACATAGGA